AGTTTCAAGGCAGTATGATCCTACATTGTCACTTCAAGAAGCATAAAGGCAAATTGCTCACATTTGCTGGCAGGCTTGGGTTAAAATTACTCTCGAATAAGATGCTGCTTGCGAAAACCCACGCGGCCTTTTACATACGTGTGACCTCTTAGGGCATTCACGTGATACAGGCATAAATCGTTTCATTGGTTTTCGCGCTTCGAATGTATGCCTCTTGCAACGCAGGGCACGCAAGCCGATTCCAAGGACCAGAGCAGTGGCCGTGACATGTCGTGACTCTGTTTCGTATGTTACAACGAGTTTGAGACATGCCTTGCTGTTTCGACGGTCAGGAGACGGCTTGCCCACGATGTGAAGCACAATTTACGACTTATTTCAGGCTGAATGCAATGTCTGTTGTTGCTTTGAGTGTTACATCAATGTCGGCATCAGCCCACTGACGAACTTGAAACACAGGCGGCATCATTGCCGACATTGCGGTGGCCTCGTCTGTGACGACTGCAGCAGGCAGGGGGATCAAATGCCTTGTGAATGTTCCAGGCACTTACGCAATCTCGGCAGTCACTTAGGGAAGCAACATGGCGATGTGTTCATCTGTCCTGCCACATATATACATCCCAAGCATGTGTAATTGAATTGCCGAAGGCACAGAACTCGAATCCCTCAAGATCCTTCCCTTGGCAATGCCAGGGGCTCAACCGGAGGGCATCAGAAAACTGAGATTTCGGATTGAAAGACGACCAAGGTGCGGGTCTGCGATGACTGTTTCAAGGTCATCGGCGACCACCATGCAATCGGCCAAGCTCGTGCAGCGAATCCATGCTTGCCGGCTTGCTCCGGGCCCCGTGACTGAGAGCCCAAGTGAAGGCAGCTGTACTGGAAGAAGATCTGGCCCTCGGCCGCCATCTTATCGAGCAGCTGAAAGGCCGGAGAACTGGCTTTTCCAGTCTTTTCCTTGCCTTGTGGCCGTGCTAGATGCTTTGAAACAGAAGCACGACCAAAGCGAGGCGTGATTGAACAAAGGGATTCACTAGCCCGCCGAATGTTGCCGAATGTTGCCTGAGGCTTACAAGAAGGTGATGCTGGAGCTTGAAGCTGAAGCTGTCGGGAACAGGGCGCGACTCGACAAGTCGGGTGGCCCAGTCCCATTGTCAAAGTCATGTGATTGGTCAGACGTCAAGGCATGAGAAAGATCCGGAAAGTGAAGACTTCTCTTTCAAGACGTTGCAGGACACAGCCTCTCAGCCAATTTGGAACCAGCAGAACAGGAGGAGTTTTCAGCCTGTCTGAGGTGCAGCAGTGTTGGAGCGATGTCATGAACTCCTTGGAAGCACAAGGCAAAGTGATGCGAGATCTCGAGGACGGGTGGGCAGATTTCCGGCAGACCCTTCCTGGCCCTGCGAGCCGAGGAGCGTCAGCGCGACGTTCTGAAGCGCCGAGACGACTTGATCTCGACGGAAGAGGCAGACTCCGTCATTCAACGAGTCTCTCTAAGTCTGGACATGTCTGGACACCAGGAGATGAGCGACAGGTATCAGCGACTAGACGCTGAGCTTGCTGAGGCCTGGGTTACGGTTGTAGCATTGTAGCTTCATATCGAAGGGCAGATAATGTAGATAAAGGAGGAGCAGGTTTCGATGAGGCCGAGTGCCACCATTCAGGTGACGCGTATGGAAGCGAAGCGGGATGAGTTGTTCCGCCTTGAGGCGCATTTATCCGTGCATCTCGAAGGATCTCTGTGGGAGGAAGCGGCACCAATTTCCACTGCCAGCCTTTTTTGGGTGCAGGGAGAGCTTGAACGCGCAGTCGGTGCTGAGCCTTTCCCTCGGCTCATCCTGAGAAGCTTCTTTTCGATTCACTTGCACTGCAGGCGTCGGCGAGTTCGCGAGTTGGAACTTGGGCGGCAGGCCTGTTGGTGTGAATACCGCCATCGCTGTCTTGAGCACAGCCTGGGGGGAGAACATGAGAGGCCCAGCAGGAGCTCGAGGCAGAACGAATCAGCATCGTGGCTCAGTTAGTCAGTGCTTCCATTAGTTCGATCCTGCTCGGATTCATCAGGCCAAAGAATGGGCTGGGGTTCCCACCCGCAGTTGGCCTAGATGCAGCTTTGCAACCCGCATCGTCTCTGGCACCGGAAACTCTGGAGGCTGAGATCGACAGAGCCAGTCGCATTCACTATCTCAACTGGTCGGCAGGAGTTACCCAGAGACATCTGTGCTTGCATTGCCAACTTTGTCTCGTAGCCCCTCGCAGGAGCACAGCCAGAGTCGCTTGGATGGCTGCCGGAGGTCCGCGTTGCAAAACTAGCAGAAGGCGCTTGTCACACATTATCAAACGAAGCAGGTCCTGCACTGTGAGTTGAAGCTGAAGGGCCCGACGCAGAAGGCGGACGTGAGTTGCAGCTAGAGGCTGACTTGCATGCCGCATCCTGCCTTCGAGCGGTCAAGCGTGCTCCCGAGAAAAAAAGGACACGTGGCATGCATTGAACTGAGTCCCACTTCTCAGAGGTAACGAGTTCGAGAAACGAGTTGAACATTTATTCGATCTGTACTTGTCGCCGGCTGTCTCAGGACAGACACAAGGGCAAAGGTCGCTACAAGGCCGGTGTCCCGGTAGATGGCTGCTTGGCAGTCTTTGCAAGCAGCGTGCTTTCTTGACCTCTGCACAGTTTGAGTGTCGCGCCGAGGGCTAAATGTTGTTCAAGTGATGGCGCCGAGTCTCTTGTGCTTTTAGCTCTAGGTTAATTTCTTTTGATGACATCAGGGCATGTGGCTTGGACGATGACTTCATATCTTACTTCGTCGCATTCGTCCGGCCCAATTCCAATCAGTTTACTGTCAACAAATAATAGCAAAGCCGTGCACTTGTAAGCTGCAGCCTTGAGACGTTGGTAGCAGGTTTTTTCCGCCGAGCAGCTTGAAATACAGATGTTCTGCAGTGGAAGAGGCATTATCTTCTGTCAGATTTGGGTAGCTAAACACAAATTGGAGAATTCCCTCCCTCTTTCATTCCAGCAAGTACGTAGCCTTGTACAGCTTTCATGCTGAACAAGAGACGGCCATCCAGCCTGCTATCTAGAGTTCTCCGGTGATTTTTTGTGCGAATAGACTCTTATGAGTGTGTGCCAAACAAACCTGTGCGTGCTTTGCATGCCTTTGTACAATTTCTACGCCCCATGAGCTGGGCGCTCCAAAGTGTCCGGTCGCGACACATTTGAGGAGTTGCGACTGGAGCGAGCAGTATATTCTCAGATCAGCTTAAATGAGGGCAAGCGAACTTGCCTCCGCATCTTAGAGGCGACCAGAATGCAACTCCTGCCACATGCGTCACTGGCATGCGCTGTGCCAGTCAGAGCCAGGAGCTAGGTTGTCACTTATGCAGTTTCACAGGCTAGTTATTCGAAGACTCACCAGGCTGCTTTGGCGGCTAGAAAGAAAAGGCTTCTTGACATGCCCGGCTAGGGGGAGAAGCCTGTCTGTTGCTTCGGAAGACTGTCATCTGAAGGGGCCCGGTATTCTCTTCAGCGTTGTCTGGCCGAGATGTTCGACGGAGGCGATGCTTTCATGGGCGATTTGCAAAGGAAGGGTCAGGAAAGATGCGGAGCTTGTTTCTTTGGTTTGCCACGACAAAAGCAAGAGCTCCGAGATCAGCTTCGTAAGACGCGTCGCATTTTCGAGTGGCGTTTTTTCCCATGGATCAAGGTTGTTGCCTCGTGAATACTTTCATTCAACCGTGCAGCAGTGTTAGCGGTGCCGCCGAGCTTCTTCGTTCCAAAGAGCAGTGCTTCCGCTACAACGAGCACGGAAGCACTTGCCACAGGACGTGGCCCAGTCATTGCAGGTGTCAAGGTTCTTTCCTCCTCCTCATGTTTAGGCCCGATTTAGCGCGCAGGCCATGTAGAGACGTTTATGTGGAACGTCTTTGCGACTTCGGACTTTGCCGCTGCCGTCGGCTCAAGGTGTCCAACAGGGGCTGAAGCTGCCCCTGATAGCTGGCAAGCACCTTGCGGGCAGCTGGCACGCGACCCCTTGTCTTGTGCGACATCCCAAATTTCTCCAGGATTGCAGATTCTGTCAGGTGTGGGCTTTGCTGCACACCGGCGAACTGCCTGTGCAAGAAGCGTCCTCAGTTCATGCAACGGTTAGTTGGCAGGTGCACAGCAAAAGTGCAAAGCAAGTTGTCTTCACATGATAAAGGGTCAATGCCATCGTAAACAAAAACACGGTGGGTGAAGGTTTCTGCTCGCAAGCCTGCATGTTCGATGGTGCATACGTTTTTGGCGAAGCCTTATGCGATGTTCACGCGCACGAATCATGTTGCTGATGCAGCGAACGACCGCGGATTCCTGCATTGCAGGCACCTCCTTCCCTCGACCTAGCTAGGACATAAACTTTACCAACCTTGACAATTAGAAGCTTATCATGAACCCTTTTCGGATGCCATATGCCAGACGACGAGCTGCCTCGATTTGCGGTTTCTTGTTGCCCCTAGGCCATGCAGCGGACGAGACCTTTTACACAGCAGCGAATCTATGGTGCGGATTTGGCTTAGAGATGTTGACATCTTCATTTGGTACAGCACCATGCTTGGAGGCATGGGCTTCATTGTCATAGTTCTGATGATCATCTTTGGCTTCCTGGCTTTCAAGCAATGATGTATTTCACGAGCGTTGCAAGATGGAATCCTGCTCGCTCTGAAGGTATACACTCGGCCTTCGTTTTTGTTGCCGGAGCCCGATAGCACGTCCAGCGGGGCATTCTGGCACGATCCATGGCCAGCGGCTTGCCGAGGTCTGGGGCCCCAAGTTGTGGGTGCGAGCCGCACTTCTGATCTTCTGCATGCTGTGTGTCGAGTGAGATGCATTGGAGGGGCTTGTGTCAAATGTTCAGTTTCGGCTCAAGGCCCCCAAAAGCCTGCAAAAACTGCTGGGCTTGTGTCTCACACTTGTGGCAAAAACTGCTGCTCGTGGAACTAAAGATCCATTAATAGTAAGAAAGAGATTGTTCTTCCGCCTGTCTGTCGCGGTGGCCACAACACAGAAAATGTAGACGGGTTTTTAGAACAACTTCACATCAGCTCATTGTCAATTAGAAGGATAGTATTCTGCAGATCTGGGAGGCCACAGAAGGCCAGCTGCAACGACACGGTAGTTACTTTCGTGCCGGTGACTATCCTGCAGGTGAATGCAATGGCGCCTGCCCCGTTCCGCCGTGATCTTACGTAATTCAAGCTGATGCCGACTTTTGCCAGTCAAGCTCACAGAACCTCGCGCTGGCCTTGCTTGGCCAGAAGGTTTCTCGCCAATGCAAGCTTGGGAGGCCGCTACGCTTCCTAAGCTTCCATAGCTTCCGACCTGGTCTCTTAGACTCTGCTCCAGTGTCCACATCCATTCCACAGATCTCCGCAGGCTCCGACACCCTCGCCCCAGCTCGAGGCGACTGCACAAGCCTGGCCGTGTGGTCGCCTTTCGCCTTTGTGCCCGTGAGGAGTATCCGGAGGATGTCCGCGGCATTATTCGGGAGATCCAGGCGCCGCGTGTCGTCGGCCCGCGCTCCGCAAAGGGCTCGTCGTCCTCGTCTTTTCGTCTGCATCTGGCTCTTGTTCTCTGGCAGGGCTACGTCTTCACCCGACGCGTTCGGGCGAAGGCGGCTCGCCGTTGAGCCCGAGCCCAGAAGTTTCGAAATGACGATGCAGGACTTCTTCTTGGATTTCGATCTGCTGCGATGTGGCCGATGCAGCCCTCATCAGTTTGTCCGCGGATTGAATGCTATCGTGCTTGCCTTAACCGACCCAAGATACCGATCGCAGACATTTCAACCCGTGTCAAGGTTCCGCATCTACGGGCAGAAAAGATGCGCGTGCTCACGGTTCGAAGCTGAGACAAAGTCCACCAAAAAGACGGAGCTGTCCAGTGTCGCTGCCAGGATTTCTTCACAGATCCATCGCAAGATGCCATGAAGCCACAGGCACATGGTGCCAACGCCATGTCTCGTGCCTAGGCTCGCTCTGACATGCGAGGTCGTTCACCACCTCGAGTTCCTCCGTGCAGTGGACACCGTTTTCGGGGTGCCCTCGGCCGTTGTAGAAGTTAGCAGCGGCACACGCAGCGGTCGCGCGGGAGCCGCGAATGGAGGCCTCTGAGCTCGAAAAGCAACCAGCCGCAAAGGCGCCGAGGCGCAGAGCGCCCGCAGAGCGGCCGCAGAGCGGCGTAAGAGTAAGAGTGTCAAAGAGTAAGAGCAAGTCTGTTACGTAAGTCGGACGCAGGCCTGGCCACTGCTTGAAGAAGCACGGTCAGGACATCAGCCCGTGTGAGGACGAGGCGAGATGGTACTCCGTGATCCGTCGAGGTATGTGGAGGTGTCTGTGTTTCAGTTTCAGGTAACTGTTGAGCAGACGCTGCGACGGCTTGCCCTGCTTGTGAAGACACGTGGAGCAGCTCGGCTGGGCAGCTTCTCTGGTTGGCAGCCATTTCCGATTCCTTGGCTTGACAGCACTGAGGTGATCTTTTCGAAGTGCTTTCAGGACCCAGCTGGCCGAAGTGTTGAGCGAAGAGCGCGACCGCCCCTATAGGACTCGGAAAGATCTCTGGACACGTCGCTCCTCTGTCCTCGATTTGCTGGAAAGGTGGAGCATGCTGTCACATCACGCATGCCTTTGGCACTGTCTGCCAGCAGGTCACGGAGGCGCAGTTCTGCAGCCATTTCCCTTTCATGCAGGCCGGTCACTCACTGCTCTGATGACTGCAACGCCGCATACGGGCAAGATTCCATTCTACAAACCACGCTCGGCAGGTGTCATGACTCCCATGTAGCCTTAAGGTTGCCAGGTCAAAGAAGAAACATGGACCGTCCCAAGTGTCTGACACCAATGCATTGCACACAAGGTTTGCGTAGCGGGGGATAGGGTTTCACCCAATTTTTAGTGGAAACCAGGCTCAGGGTTCAGGGTGCCTGGCATTCCAAAACAGGAGGCGGCCGGCACGTAGGGTTTAGGGCAGAGCTTTTAGTTTTTCTTCGTACGTTTTAGGATTTTAGGTCAGCAGAAGCGAAGCTGGGCCTAGGGTTTAGGTCAGTGCTTGATTAGGTTGTTTCCCCCCTCCCACCCACAAGCATGAATGATGACGTCCATGGTCTAAGCCAGTCCGAGAAGAGATCATCCATGGCCCAACCTTGATGACATCCGCTCTGGGTCTTCGCGCAGAATCATGTGTATTCTGCCGCTAATGAGGCTTCTCAACCCACCGTGTGCAGGGCACGCGGCATTCTGGGTGTAAATTGCAAACACTGCAAAAATGCGTCTGTCCTTGCGGAATGACTCAAGTTTCACTGTTCTTGACCTAAGCATCACCCCGCCTGGATTGACTCCACTTCGCTCCCATGCCGTGTCCCGCAGGTTGAGGCGACTTTACAACTATAGCTGGTGTGACTTACAGTAAACCTACTGCTAGTGCTTGAGCTCCTTTGACCCGAAGTACATTGAAGTAGCCTGTAACCGTTACCACCACCGCCGCCGCCACCTCCGCCACCACCGCCACCGCACCCACGACCACCACGACAACGACTGCTGCTACTACTGCTACGACTACTATGCCGCTGCTGCTGCTTCTACTGCTGTTAGTACCACGACTAGCACGACTGATGTGCCACTGCGAATGCACCTGCGACAACGACTGCGACTACAATGCATGCGAAAAAAATCGAAAATCTAAGATATCGCTTTTTTGGGAAAGAAACAAAACGATAGTTCGTTCGACAACTCCAAAATTCAAGAATTCGACAATTCTAAGGGTTGCCAGCATCCACCGAGAATGCGATCTCTGGGTCATGTATGCAACCATGTCCGTTAAGATTGTTCCTGGTGGCAGTACGGATATTGACTACACAAGCAGGGCTTTCGGGACTGCTTGTCAAACGAGATTCGGGTCATCACAATCGGTGGCGGTATGTGGCGGCATGTAGGCCAATTCCAAAGGGGAGAGAGGGGACCCATGCCCATTTGTCAGCCCTCATTGCATGCCGACACTTCCTGCCTGAGCTCCTTGCCAACGTCATTTTCAGCAACCGCGTGAGGCTTCCCATTTGCCATCAACGTTCACATTTTTACAGCAGAGAACGGCTTTCGAATGCCTTGGGGTAAGATTGTGACATTGATATTCTTTCAGAAGACTGTACATGTCCATGGCAGGCTGGAGTCAAGTTGTCCAGAAAACGCATGAAAGTGGACTTGCTACCGGACGATTTTCTGGCGGATTCTTGCAAGAGTACAATCGCCTTCAAGTGGCATTTATGCAGCGTTCGACTCGGAAGCGGAGGTTGGAAACTCACACCACCACAGTGCAGGAATAGTTTCCTGATGCTCGCAGTAGCACGACTACGAAAAGCAACTAAGTCAAAGATGTTTGGCTTTTGGCTTGCTGTCTTGCATTGTTGGGTGCTTTTGCCCAAGCTATGTGGTGGACGGACACGAGTTGCACCCAAATGACGTTCCAAAATACGTGGTCGGAGCACGATTTCACGGCCCTGCCAAGGCTAGTTAACTCAGCGATTTGAAGGCCGAATGGTGTTTGGACAGTGATGCCCTGTGATGCGGAACCGCCGAACCGCTGCACCTAATCTGGGCGCCTCGCGGCTTCACTAACCAAATCCAGCGGCACCTCCGCGAAAAGCGTGCTGCCATCACAGTCCTGTGTCCACCTTGGGAAGTGCTCCGTTTGTTTTTTCAGTCTGAAACTTGGATTCATGCGCATCGCTTCAGGGCTTATTACAAGGTGCTGGAGACTCCGACTGCTACACCCTACACTATGTCTGTGCTTTTTCACTTCGGACCACTGCCGCTTTCAGTCTCGGTGTGACATGGACTGCCTCCAGAACATAGCACAGAGTGCCTTTGGATCATTTTGCGTGCATGCCAGCTGCGGCTGGTGAAAATGGGAACATAGCCTGATTATGCAAGCGCAAAGACATCTCCTTGACATTGTTCTTGTCTTGTAGTTGTACCAGGACCAACGCAGACACTCCAGCAAATCGAAACTCATGTCTGAGCCTCTTCATGTAGCTTTGACTTCCCCAACGTAGGAAAATGGCTGGGACTGCAGTCACGCCGGTGCACGTGCCTTGAGTCATTGAAGGACATCTCGGAACATGAGCTGAGCCTATTGCTTCAGCGGTATTACAACGCTGATACTGGTGGGATTAGCTACATGGTCCTCGCCCCAGTCGCTCGAGCCCCTTGAATCGCAGCTTTGTTCCACATGCCTCGTTTGCAAGGCACTGGACAAAGAAATCCAGTCTCTCATAGACGAGCCATGTGCAGGGAGGTTTGTGACAGGGAGTGTCTGAGCACTGCACTGTTTTTAACCATACAGCATGTTGCGCCAGTGTGCAGCTGTCCCAAAGCGCTCGCAGCCCCATGTCCACGTCGTTGCCTAAGCCTTAGCATTCAAGGAACTATTTCAAAGCGCTCACTCCACAAAGCTCAGGCGTCAGTGGGCAGGGCCCGCGGCCTGGAGCGGCCGAGAGCCCATGCGAATGCCGAGCAGCCAGGACTCTTCACAAGCACCGTTTCATAGCAAGTTATTACTGTCGTTTCATGGAGTCTTCCACCTCGGTGCAGCGCATCTCGATGTTTCAGGATCAAGAGCAGCTTGATTCAGAGCTCATGGCAAGACTCAAGGCATGTCAGCCTCTGCATTTTGTTCCTGTCTTGTGGCAACCTCGGGCCTAGGGCTGCTTGCTTTTCCGGAGGCTGAGATCGCTTCCAGACGCCTCCGCCTGCATGGAAGCTTCCAGGCATGTCTTCGATTCTTCGATGCTCGCTCACAGAAGGAAGCCACCCCCTCATGTCGCCAGGAGGTAGACCGCCTGCGTCGCGGTGTTGTCAGTATGGGACAGGCTGTCAACAGATCGAGGTCTCAGTTGCTTGTCACGCACCTGGCACATGCAGGCCAGGACTGTCTTCACAATTCTTCGAATCGAGCTGGACTCGAAGGAGGGGGGCCGAGTGCACTCGACAGAGGATCGCTTCTTCAGACCTCAGCAGGAGCTCGAGATGTTGCATCGGCTCTTCGATCTGAACGGACCAGCTCTCAGCCTGAGAGACTGAGAGAGCGAATCGTCTCTGTACCCGAGGGCGAAACCCCAGTTCGCTTGGTGAGGCCTCTTCAACTATAGGCAGTTCTGCAACGAAGTCTTGGAGGCCGTGGAAGAGCAAGGCACGATCAGATTTCAGAGTGCCGAGCACAGCTCGCAGGTCCCCTTGGACTCGGAGGATTTTTCACCAGCGACCTCATTCCAGCCATCTCTGGTGCCTTCGTCGGCATGCAAAGGGTGCAGGGAAAGGGCACCTCAAAAATATCCGATGCTCGACAGAGGACCGAGCGACTCGCTGGCGCAGAAAACATGATAGCGAAAGCATGCAATGCTGCTTGATTTGGGAAGCGGCGCCCGAACGTCAATTTAGGGTTCCACGTGAGGGTTGATCTAAACCCCCTTCTGTTGACTTTGCTTTCCAGGCGCGATTTATGCTTTTGGTCACTATTGAAATTGCCTTCAAAACATGGTGTGCGCGCAAGAAAGCGCAAGGGCGAGCGCAAGAGGCCACAAGGGCAGTACAGTAATATGGCTATATATCAATATGTAGCGTAATTAATGGTCATACAACATGCGCGTTTCAAAACACGTGTGTGCGCAAGAAACACGCAAGAGCGCGCAAGGGCGAGCGCAAGGGGTATTAAATGGTCGCCCATCTGACCAATAATGTCGATTAACCCCATGCGTTAATCCGAAAATGACCTCACAGCATGATATCCGGACATCTCAACATGCCATCAGCAAGCGGACATTGACAGCTGATTATCGACAAGGAAGGAAACATTCAAGGAGAATCCGACGGATCAAGGTGCTGAAAAGCAGTAGCTGCCAGTCGCTCGTACTAGTGAGTTCGGCTCAATCGAAAAGGTCGCAGTTTCCGGCAGTCTCAGTTTATTATTGACATGCTGGATGTGTTGTTGTAGGCCAGCCAAAACCACACGACTTCTCATGTTGCATCCGAAAGAGCGACTTGCCATCATTTTCTAGTGGCTGCATTGATGGCATGGTCTTGTTCTGCAATGCTGCATAACCGTAAATACTCATGTCATTGCCATTCCACGCCCAAAGCTGCAAGCCAACCTTGCGGAAACTCTTCGGTGAATGCAAGCCGCGCTATCACCCCTGATGAAACTACCCACAACATGTTGATACGGTCAGGGGCAGATGGGCTTGAAGCTAAAACTGTGAAAGCGTTGCATTGCACTACGAGCCAACCGGGCAAGCAAACTTAGAGAATCAAAGAGCTGACCTCGCGTGAGACACACAGCCGACGTCATGTTACAAGACACATAGCAGGAATTATCTGCAGGGAGGATTTTGGTAAGCATGGGGTAGTGGTGTCAAGTGCATTGTTCATGTGCAGTGCTGCAGAGTTGCTAGGGATCGGCATTCTTCAAGAAGTCCGAGCCTGGCTCCTCAGAATTCAGCGGTTGTGTCTTTGGCTTCTTGAAGTCTTTGGCCGCCTTTGGCCCCTGAGGCGCGTCAGAGTGCGGCACCGCTTGCTACCTGATGCGGAGGACTCGACGACAGCTTGTCTGGCTGCAAGCTGCTTGTTCCTGCCACTGGGTCACAGGGCAGGCGAGGAATTCCAGCGCATGGAAGTGTCAGGAGCAGCTGGCAGAAGCAGAGCTTGGATCTCAAGCTGGCCGCGTTTGTTCTGGATTCACCATTGGGGGCATGCTTCGGACATAGTACAAGGCTTTGGGTTGCCCGCCGAGCGGAGCATCGCACCATCAATGCTCCGAGCTTACCATCAGCCTGAGATAGACATTCGGATGCGCATGGAAGGACATCAGCCTCGAAGAATTGAGGTGAAGTCTCATTTCCTGGACTTCGACAGACTACGGTGTGGCCGTGTGACCCGCAGCCAGCGATGCCTGCCTGCTTTAGTTTCCGCATGCAGATGGTCCGTGAGTGTGAGTGTCCATCGCTACCCCTGTTGACTCGGGGAGCAGTGCTTGAGCCTAAGACATTCCATGAAGAGCAAGCGGTGTCAATATCGTGTAAATTTGTGCCAATTCACGAATTCGCCGGCCTGACATGATGCACTTCACGCGATTCAAGGTTGCACAAGCCGAAGGACCAAAGCAACACTGCAGGTGATATATCATGCTATGCAAGCCATTGCAGCCATGCCGCCTTCCTGTGCATCGCGGTTGTGCCTGTTTCGACCATGCACGCGCTACACCGGTCTCTGGCACTGAGAGGTCCACACGCCTGCAAAATCAACCGTGTGTTATGTATCTTCCAGTCGCGGCATAGGTCAGCGTCGTTTTGCCGAGGTGATGGTATTGATTGAGGGCCGTCGGCGGGATCCGCATCTCGGCGGGTCAGGGCTTTCGTGGTCTCATCGCAGTGGCCTTTCGGCTGAGGCAAGTGCCAGCTCCACAAAAGAGGCGCGACCTGCTCGAAGAGCTGCGATCCAGAGAGTCTCAGAGTCTAGAGTCTAGAGCCCAGGCCAGCAGAAGAAGCGCTGCAGGCCGACATGGGCCGACATGGGCCGACTGTCCCTGTAGCCGACGGCTTTGAGTCGAGAGGCCGCGACCGCGAAGCAGCCTCGGAGCGGAGAAGCCTCCGAGACGCCACAGGCATCGCGAAGCTTTGGAAAGGGGAAATGGCAGGCTCCGGACTCTGGGTTGGCTCAGCTGCAGCCAAATCGCTGAAAAAGCTGTAATAGTACGTCTCGAACCAGCCAGTACTCCGACTTCCATTTGCGTTGCTACACTCGCGGCCTGAAGGTGCAGTACGAACCCACTCCCAGCAGGCTTTTTCTTTTTCCCAACCTGGCTGCCAGTGTCTCGGGAACCATCTGTTTATGCTGTTCACCGATGGAGTTTGAGGCTGTTTAGGTGTAGTACTCTAGAAATCTCTGAATGGTACTTTCAGGCATGAGACATCATACGACATACAAGGGATTCTAAGGCCGTGTCGACATGCACTCTGACGACCTTTGATTTCTTGTGTAAGCTTTCACCGTGCTGCTTTGCCTTTCCTTGAGGACGTTGAAGCTTCTCTTTTCCATTGCCTGCGGAGGCAGCTCCAACAGCATCTGCACCTGGGTTGCCTCTGCCGGCAGGGGCAGCTTCCTGGCAGAGCGTCCCTGCGCTCCTGGGTCCCACGCCTCCACAGCCACCAGCACCAAACCCACAGGCAGCTGCCATTTTAGCAACTCTGCAAAATGCTGCAACTGCTACCCCGCAAAATCCACAAGCAGCTGCACTTGCAGCAGCGTTGGCAGCACAAAGCCCAGCCAATGCCACGCAACCCCCGCCACCAAACCCACAAGCACTTGCCATTCTCAGCGCTTTAGGTGTATCCAGTGCTGCAGCAGGGGCTGCCGGAGGTGGTGCAGCACCGGCACCGGCTCCCTTGTCACCACAAGCCCAAGCCGTCATCGCTGCTCTTGTGGCGGCCAAGTCGTCGGCTGCTACCGCAGTTCCTGCTTCTTCACCTTTAGTTGGACTGCCGCAAGCAACTGCTGGCACGCTCCCTCCAGCAGCACACATCGACAGCACCGCACAACCCCCACCACCGAACCCACAGGCACTGGCAATTCTCAGCGCTTTGGGCGGGTCCGCCGCTGCAGCTGGTGCCGCTGCAGCTGGTGCCGGAGGTGGTGCAGCACCCGCACCGGCCCCCTTGTCACCACAAGCCCAAGCCGTCATCGCTGCTCTTGTGGCGGCCAAGTCGAATGCAGCTACCGCAGTTCCAGCTTCTTCACCTTTAGTTGGACTGCCCCAAGCAGCAAGTGCTGGCACAGCCGTCACCCCTCCAAATGCGTCAGGTCAAATTGACATTATTGCCCACCTAGCAGCTTCGGCCAGGATCAATGCAGCGATGAACGCAGCTTGTTCGCCGCCAGAAGAGCAGCAGCCGGCTCCAGCAGCACCGGAGCCAGCTGCTTTTGACAAGGATGCCTTGCGTCGCCTCGCGCAGCGAGCAGCAGAAGGCCCAATCGAAGAGGAGCCACCCCCACCGCCGCCACCCGAACCGACAAAGGCAGCTGCCGTCGTTGTCAACTCCTCAGTCGTTGGTGCTGAACCAGGCGCCGAGTGCTTCGTGTGAGCCTGCCGAGGAGGTGACCCAGCAGGAAGAGCTTCCTTCTGCGGAGGTGCCCAGAAGCTTGGGCAGAGCTGGGCACCTCGTTCTTCGGCTGCGCCCGGGAGGCTGAGCCTCTGGCGGATGCAGACGCTCTTCTGGCCCAGGTGCTTGAAGTCGCCCTTTCAAGTTGCTGAGAAGCACATGCAATGCGAGGTGATTGGTCAGCCTGCTCAGCCTGCCCCAGCCCAGGTGCTCAAAAATCTGTGTAGTCCGATTTTTGTCCAGTGGTCGAGCAGACCTCAAAGGTGGATGACGGCAGGAAAGATTGGCATGAGAAGTTCAGCCACGTGCTCTGGGGTTATTGGCGGGTGGGGGGGGATCTGGGTTGAAACCTGTCACCAGAAAGTGCTAGGGTCTTCATGTCATTGTGACCAGGCGGGTTTGCTAAACGATGCTAAACTGAAACTGGAAGCCCGGCTCACTTTGGATCACGCTTGTTCAGCCGTCGAGTCCACTGTCGGTGGAGAGACACCGGTGATGTTAGCGGGCCTGTCGTGCAGGCAGACGAAATGAATGGCCTTGAACTCAGTCGCATAGTAGCACAGTGGTTGTAGGAATCCCCAACTACACCAGTGCTGCTGGCTGGCAGGCACAACGCAAGCAGCCCCAGCTGAGGCAGGATTGGCATGCTCACTGGTTGTTCTTGCAAGTTACTCTGTTCCTTCAGGCGAAGAAGAAGGATTCCTCATCGATTGCGACAATGCTCAGCTACGTCGCTTCTCCCAACATGGAGGGTCGAAAGAGTCGCACTGCAGACTGTCAGCCTCCACCAGCCTTCTCCAGCCTCTAGGTTTCTCAGCTGGCACTCAGGCGCAGAGCAACGTTGCCAAAGGCAAGGTGCCACCAGACAAAGCGGTGGACAATGCGTCTTTGCAGCAGGCAGGGCCTGTGGCATGTTTGATGTGGTTAAGCCTTTGCAAGCCGCGTTTTCTGCAGGCTTTCACGATTGGAGGCGGAGCAAGTGGCCACGCCTCTGGCTTGAAGGGGCTTTCGACTTATGCAGAATTGCACCTATCTATCATCGCCGTCAGTCGCCCACCCGTCCTATGACAAAGGTTGTCGCCCGTGGAGAGCCTTTGTCAGAGACTTGACAGCGCAGGCTGGGGATTTCCATGCGACTTCAAGTGAATCTGAAGGGCTTGCATGCCACTTGCAAATTCGAAGAAAATACAAAAGTCCAACCACATGTGCAGACAAGAGAGACCGGTATATCCAACGGCACTAGAGCTACGCCATTGTCCACCTTGTCACCATTGATGGCAGAGCCTGCCACATCCGAGCGTTTCACAAGTCACGAAAGCTAGCCTCCGGGGCTAGCTGAGTTTCTTGTCAACCGAAGGTTGCAACAAGGGGTGTGGGGAGGGGCCTCCCTGGAGGTGGCAGATTTTGGACCGGTTTCCGCGCCCGGCCCCACCTGGAGCTGGATTTGGCTGTGGGGCCACCGGGTCTTTTTTGGGGTGTCTGAAAGTGGTGTTTCAGATCGCTCCAGAATGGAGAAACCAGCCCCAGATGATGCTCATGATGCTTGCCTGTCGGCTCCGATATGGATTCCGATGATGCTCATGATCGCTTGCTGGCTTGGGTTAGGACTCCAAGTTGCTAGCGGCCGTTGTGCTGAACCTCTGCGTTTGCAAGCCTGTTCTGTTGCTCTGCCTAGCTTTCGTCCTAGTCCCTCCTCCCCAAGTCGAAGTTTTTGTGGTTCGTTGTTAAGCATGAGCAGAGAAGTGATGAGTAAACGACACAGGGCACAAGCGCTACAGGTCCTGACTTGTCTTCGGAGGAGCGCAAGGCGGGTTTGCCAAGTAAAAGCTGCGTGTCCCTGATATATTCCTCCTTGACTTTGCAGGATCTCCAGCAGCAAGTCAGCGCAGTCTTGCCGAAGCTTGAGCCACCCAAAGCAGCTGAGCTCATCGGCAAAATGCAAGGTGCCGAAGGCACCCCCGAGATCCTCCGAGATATACATGTGCTGAGCACTCAAGCTCGGTTGAACAACGAGGTATTCGCAGCTCCTCCTTCTTGGATGAGATCGCAAGATTACTTCATCCATCCCGCTTTGCTAGTCGTTGTCTCGGCCTTGCCTCGTTTCTGCGAATCGGAAGTTATGCGAAGCTCAGGCTCACATTTGACTCGCATAATGGCATCTCTAGCTCCCTGGGCTGCTGCAGTCAGTGGCAACTTGGCGAGAGATGGCGAGAGAAGCTTCCTAGTTTGCCACCTGGAGAGCCCGAGGCAGCGATGCAGATGGAAAGATTAAGCTGTCTGAGGATGCCAGAGACATACCTTGCAACTGCTTCATCAGACTTCGGAGCGGTTCTGCTCGCCATGGTTGGTTAGCAGTTCGCATTCGATTGAGGCAAGGTCATTCTTCACAACCTCGGCAGCAGAACTTTCCTTGAGGTGTCGTGTTTGCACCAAGCCGCACGACTGTCACCGTCGGAAGCCTCATTGCAGGCTAATGGATGTGGCCCCAAAGGATTTGAGCCAGATCGCCACGGCGATGGCGACCATCAGCATGACGGAGGCGAGAGAGAGAGAGAGAGAGAGCTTCTGAACTATGGCTCTCTTTATATATGGCAAAATGCTGTGCTGCGTGCACTCAGGAACGCTTCTTCGCCTCGTTGGCTCGGGCATCGGTTGCTCGATGCGAACGCTTCAGCGTGGAGGTGAGTCGGCAGAGTTGCAAGAGAAGGCTGGCGCAGAGGTATCTCGAGATTCTTGATGGAAGGACATCCTCCTCGTTTGTGCCGCCTTCGACAAGGCTTCATGCCTGGTGTGAGAGCTGCCTCTGACTGATCCTGTCCTTGTTTTTTTGTGGGTTTCTCGCTTGCGCTCCCTCCCTGCTGTCGAGGCAGGCATGGTCCACCTGCCCCTTCTGGAGGCGGCCGCGAAGCTGCTGCGGATACAGGTGGCACAGGCACAAGGACCCGAGGAGGGCTCACTTTAGAGGAGCTCTGTTCGCTCTGAATGGCTTCGCAGGTGCCCGGCACGGAGCTGGCAAAGGGCCTGCGCAGCCTGGCCACGTGCTGCGTGCCTTGCTCATGTTTTCTCAGCCGCAGTCGTTTTGCAAGTGCGAGCGGGGCCGGGGTGGATGTGGTAGTATGCCACCAGGTTCGCGACCTTGCTCTTGGCAGAGCTGTTGGTGCACATTTGGCTGAAGGTCCTAAGGCAGCGTCATACTCCAGAAGCTTTATAGCTTTATCTCACATTCGATGCCTTCAGACTTCTGTTTGCAGGGCGGCCTCACTCCAGAAGAGTTTTGCTCACTTGCTTGGACGCGAAAAGCCCAGTCAAGCTTGGACTTGGCTCGTGTGGCGGACGTCGGTGATCTTGAGGTTTGTGACCCTCGGCTTTTATCACGACCAGATGTTCCGAGCCGTCTTCAAGGCATTGGAGGCCCGAACGGCTCGCATATTCAGAAGATGCCGTCGCCGACGTCAGCGTTCCACAGGATGCCCCAACGATGCCTGGGGACACACTGTGTGGATCCGAGCACATGGAACTGCAAAGTGCGAAGCTACTGAATGCGAAGCGAACATTCATGCACATTCTCGTGAACCCCAGAAATGCTGCCAAACATGCCAGTATGACAGAGTTGCAATGCCTTGCAGCGATTAGGTGCCAGCTTTACGAGATCCACCTGGCATTGAAGGCCTCTAGAACCCATGTCTTGAGCTGTTTAAGCAAGGGCTGCAAAGCATCGCTTACGTATTGCCGGTAGTAGGCCTTCCGCAACGATCTCTACGGCAAGTTTGAGCTTGAGGCAGGAAATATGTCAACTTCGACTCTGCTTGTAGTCCTTGGATGTCCTTGGTTTGGGTTGTATGGGGGCTGTGCAGGAGTCTGCAGTGCAAAGCCTCCGGGCACACTACAAGAAGCAACGTGGTGGCAAGCCAGTCTCTCGGAGCTTCTCACTTTGTTTCGGTCTCATCGCGTGCGCTGGGAAGTCCGTCTCGACTCGCATGCTTTGATCCCAGGGTCAGAGATGTGAAATTGGACCGCTCGATGGAGAAGGTCTGCAAGGCGAGCGTTCTTGTCTATTGATTCCCTGCAGCTAAGCTCACCGTCAACAGCCCTGTTGCGAGTGGACTCTCGTGATTCGCCTACCGGGCTCAAGGAATCAATCACAACGTAGCGCCACCCGCCTTGTTGTTCTGTGCGGTTTGTGGCATCCGACTTTGCATCGTACTCACGACGGTAAAACTGTTGAAAGAAACAAGAGTTGTTTGTGACCAAACCTGGGTCACGGGCATTGGACTTAATGCGACTCTTCGTTTGTGCGCTCAGCGCCATCCTTGTCGGGGCGGAGCCGGACAGGGACGGGGCGACGGCAGCGGATCGGGCCGTGGCACTCCTGGCGCTCGCATCGGCACGGGAGGCCCAACTGGACGAAGCCGATCAAAGGTACCTGAAGAGGCTGCAGCATTGTGCAGAGGTTGGTGACTGCGCACAGGTGGTCGAAGCGTTCAAGGATTCCAAATCCTCTTTCAGAGCCCTTGAGGACCAAGCTCTCAATCAGGCCAAAGCGGCCTTGACAGCTCAGATTCCACCCGTACATCCACACCCTCTTCGTTCACACGTCTCGAAGCACTCCAAGGCTACAACGCAGTCGTCGCAGAGTTTGCACAGGCTGGTATTCCTGGCTGTTGTTATCAGCCTGGGGGCTGCAGCCTTTCTATCCGGACGGAGGCATGGCGATCATAGCCCTACTGCCATCTTCGTTCCAGTGACAATTCCATGCAGTTCCCATGCAGACCCGAGTCTTTCACTTTGAGAAGCTAAGGTGGTTTCATCAAGCTCGCAGGATCATGAAGCAGCAGCAGTGCAGCGAGACCACTCCTATCCTGAGTGCTGCTGTATAGACTGCGGCCTGCTTGCGGGATCTGACAAGGGATTTCCCAGCTGAGCAGGCTTCTCAAGCAGATGTTGGAGTGAAACTCCCGTGCTCGCCAAACCAGCTGTGGTGTCTTGTGGCAGCTTCTTTTGTATTTCGGAGAGCGGGTCGCAATCCTCTTGCCTGGACATGCTGAGACTTGATATCTGTCGTCAGGACATCGCCGATTCTTTGCAGAAGGTGGTCAGCGGATCAGTTTCGAGACAACATCAGACCGAGCCTCCCCCTCAGACCAGCTCCGCGCTGAGCTGCTTCAGAGCTGCTTCAGAGCTGCAGAAAGGCTCGGCATGGCCGTTGACATCGCCGTCTCCGCAAAGAGGGGCTCCAAACCCATCGTCTTCATCGAGGTCCGCCGCAATCCCGGCTGCTGTTTTCCACCTTCTCGAATCCAACGAGGTCGATGGATCGCACTCGCTGACGAAAACGCTCCACTCCCAGGTTGTGCAGAATGTACAATCCACGGGAATCCTGAGCATCCCGAGGCTGGACCTGACAGGGCCCACAACATCGCAGATCTCCAGAGTCCTGGGCTCTCTTTTCTTGACAGAATGCCAAATGGAAGAAGAGCTTCTCCGAGGTACGTGGACCTGTCTTGTTGAAGAGGTACCTGTTGCAGAAGTGCCTTGGCTGGAGACAGCGCGACATACGCAGGATGAACTCCGCAGACGTCTGGATCACTTGAGTGTGTGAGGGATTGCTATGAGTTTCTTCGGGTTTTGAGTGAACGCCTTTCGATGTCTCGGTTGCTTTGACACGCTTTGACAGAAGCATCTCCGGCGGGAGATGTAGCATACATGTTTCAGTGCAACCCTGGTGTTTCCAAGTAGCTCTGCATCGACCAAAGCAGCTCTGCGTCCCGCGTGCGAACTGAATGCTGTGACGGATTTTCTGTCGTGCCTTTGCTCCTTCATTCTCATCCAGGTAGTGAGACAGATGCTTTGTTTGATGCACCGGACAAGTTGTCCTTCAGAAGGTGCGCCATTTGTCTCCTGGCGTGCCCTGTTGTCCTAATTTCTTGGTGTGCTCCCTGTTGTCCTAATTTTTTGAGCTGGGCGACGGGCAAACATGGGCAAACCGCACATGGAATGCCACTCTTCAATGATTTCCTCCAGTTCGCTAGGATCTGTGATTCCCTCTGTCCGTACAAGCTGGCACAGAGACATGCAGACTGCTTGACGCTGGAATGCAAGTTGAGCTTTGAAGAACGTCACGTGAACAGGAGCCAAGTTTTGGGCATTTTAGAGAGACCCTCAAGATCGTCCGCTGCAGCTTTAAGAAACTTCAGTCCATCGTTCGGCTATCTTTGCAAAAAAACCACTCGTCGTCCAATCACTTTAATGGCAACGTTCCAACGGAGGCTTTTCTGGTGCACAGTGTTCAGAGTACATTCCGTAGGCCAGGCAAAACGGAAACTCCCGTAAACAGTCGCTCCGGGCTCAGGGACTCGTTCAGGATCGGCAAATGGTTGGACCACGATGCGTCTGATGCTTTGTCGTGCAGATACTCGTATGGATCTGTGCTGGCTGTGTCCGTAAGCGTCTAGATGTTGTCGCATGCAGGAATCTGCCATGCGTGTCGGACAATTTAATTCGAAATTGTTGCGGATCGCTTTCCAAAGGAAAATTGAGATGTGCACCTAAGCTGAGGCATGGCTTCCGGATCGCTGTCCTGCACTTACCGATGTGCGCTGATGCAGTGCTGCACCGCGCTGTTGGGACAGAGGTCGTTCCGGAAGACTTCTGGCGGAGCTTACCAGACAGCAGAGAGAAGCGGGACACTATTTAGGGTGTTCGAAATATTGCGGAGTGCACACCTAAGCCTTTGCATCTTGAGTGCCATTCCCAGAACTGTGAGGACTTCTTGCGAGAGTTGCTGCGGAGCTCTGGGGTGCCGTCCAGACTGTTATAGCGAGAAAAAGATCCGCACGAGCACTTGTGCATTGAAGAGGAGCATCTTACAGAACCCCTGCAAATGGTAGCTGTAGCTCAATGGCCAGGTTCCTTCGTATCATGGACATGTTACAGCTGGGCTTGCGGGAGAGCCACCTGCAAGTTCTTACGGAGGCCGGCATAGGGGCATCTCTCAGTGATATGAAGAAGCAATCCTTTGAATCATGAGGCCTACTGCGATCCTAGTGGCAGAGAGTTCAGCTACCTGGACTTTTGCAACTCTGTTCGTCGTCGAGCTTCCGATGCTCTGCTGCATGGGACTCTAATCGGCTGCCGATACATGGATGTCGCTTGTTGATGCTTGTTGTGGCTTGAAGCAAATATGAGGAAGTGGTGAGCACTCCAAGGAGAGTGTCAGCCTGTCAGGGATTTGACGTCGCCGAGCTTGTCACAAGTACATCATGATGTCAGGTACGAAGGGTCGGAGCCTTCGAGGTACTTCACACGCCCGCCTGCCATGATGTTCTATGCTCGGCATACTGCGCCTGTGTTGATTGAATGCTTTGGCCTTATTTCTAGAGAGTCGGAGAAACCGACTGCCAGGTAAAGGGAAGGTGATCCCGCTGGCGAGACAAGCGCCACTCTCCGCGAGGCCGGATACCCAGATGCGAAGGTACGCAGAGAAAGTGTTTCCTGCACGAGCTTTGACGAAGGCGGACACGCACGCTTGCGCGTGTGTGTGTGTGTGTGCCTGTGTGTGCGAGCGCTGGAAAGAGACGTTTCGGCATCTGGCAGGTGCAGGCCGAAGACCCGATGACGGTTTGGAGTCCTCTCGAGCCCAATCGATAGGAAAGGGTACCACATCTGTGTCGATGTTGCAGATTGCAACTCTTTGCCGCATGGGATCGGTGGACTCAGTTCAAATTCATGCACGAGTTCGGGAGGCTGAAGTGCTGCAGAGGCTAATAGCCGCTCAGCCCCAACGTCGTAATGTTAGGACTGTTTCACTGACATCTACCGGTAAAGCACTACCGGCTACCTCAAGATTGTGTGGAAAGGCTAGTTCATTTCAGATCGGTGCCGAAGCACAGCTGACTAGACATTCGTAGCGAACGCGCAGGCACCGGGCGCAGCAGCGGTGCTCTTCGTTTACCACATCTTCTTTGTCAACTTATTAGCGTCCTTTTACCAGTACTGTGCCTACTGTGCCTACGGCCGCTTTGACCGGGCCATCCCCGAGTCCGCTTGTTTGATGCTCAGGTGTGTCATGACCGATCCGGGCGTAGTGCCTCCAAACTGGGGCTTCTACATGGGTGATGAGACCAAGCGAAGAAGGCTCGCGATGACTGTCACATCCTGATTGACAGATTGGAACCGTAGTCCTGTTCTGTGTAAGTTATCAACAGCCCGGCCTGCAAGCAGGTACTGCAAAATGTGCAATGCATTCTCCTCAGAGCGCGTGTTGCTCTCGACCAGCTGAAACGCATTCAGATGGATATTGAAAGGTCTGGAAGCCTGACCGGACACACCACTGCGGCTAAGCAGCAACCGCAAGCAATGCAACTTCATTGCGGTAATCGCAGCATCCTCTGGTCGAGCTCATGGCAAGCTGAGGTAGTATTTGCAACCGTTGCATCCTGAACATGGACTGCTTGGGGAACCGGCAGAGCGGCAATTGTGTGTGCAAGCTTCCATCGCTGCTCCGCCGGTGTGTCGGGTCAAGGAAAGAGAGGGCAACATCTGATGAAAAAATTACGATCTACATCACCTGTGCCGCGTGACGATACCTTGTCATAGTGAGAGCGGCACGCGCATCCTTCCGTCCATCCGTCCTATCGTCCATCCATCAATGCATACATATCTTACATACATGCATGCATACATACATACATACGGACGTACATAACTCCCCTTCCTCTTATCAACAGGATTCTGGTGGGGATAGTTAGCTAGGTCGCCCTCTATTTCTTGTAGCTGGAGCGATATAGGCCCTAAATCAACCTAGGTAAGCCGAAGAACCCCCGAACAGATCAATCGCATTGCTGCTTACTGCCATTACTGGCAATGTTTAGGCCAGATTGCGTCGGCAACTCAGAGCTCTTGATGCTGTACACAAGGTCTTGATGAAGTGTCGAAGTGCCACAGCTCGTCCGAGGACTTAGCGCGGGAACGATTTGGAGACCCGGCTGCGGCCGTCGCTGTGTCTCAGCAACAGCTAGTGAACAAAACGCGGAGCAGCCTCAACAGCTTAGGCGGGCACACAGTCCAAGGAAGACCTTGTGCAACTGGCGGAGAGATGGTCGGGAGCCTGATGCAAAGCAAGATCATCATCAATGTGGCATGCCGTGAAGAAGCTCCCAGGTTGGATGCGCATCCCTGGGCGCGGAAGGCTGCAGATCAGCGCCGGAAAGAGGCAGACAAGCACAATACAGCACAGCCTGTGGAAGCCGTAAGACTTGGACTTGCCCAGCCTGCCCGTGTCTCTCGGCAGGCCCGCGCTCAGATGGCTGTGTGCAGCCGTCCTGCTTTGAACATGCTACAAGTCACAGATCGGTGTGTGTGTGTGTGCGTGTGTGCGTGTGTGCCCGTCAGGGACCCTAAGAATGTCCAAGTGCAGCCTCGTCAAGGTGCAGACTTGTGTGCCAGGCCAACAACTACAGCATCTGACTGTAAGCTCGGTCGAAAGCTCAGAGTTTAAAGCTGGAGCACCTTCTTGGAAGCTGTGGCATCGCTTTATGCAGATGTCGACAGAGGCACCATGCACCAGTTCTCGATCCCAGCTGAGGCCGATTCTCTGCGATGCTCGCTGGAAAGGTGCTGCTGTCTGCCAGTGTAATTTCTACTTTGACGGGAATGTTGCACCACTGCTGGCAGGTACCTGATTTTGCAGCTGACGGCAGGCATGTTCACGTGGAGCTCGTATGAATTGGCTGCAGGTCGTACTGTCGAGCTGTTGGCAGGCAGTCCGTGAGACCACCGTCAATGCATGAAGGCGGCAGACCCTCGACAAGCAGGTTTAGCCAATCAGTGCTCCGACCACGTGAGTTGAGTCGCGAACGGCTGGTTGGGGTGCAAGCAATGCAGGCATGAACGAGCCTGAGAAAGTTGCCGCAGGCATGAAAGAGCCTGAGAAAGTTGCCCTGCCAAGGCACCGCACGTGTTAGCAAATATATTTGGCTTCGTAAGCCCTTTTCCTGATGTTGGGCTGTGTATGTTCTCTTGTCACAAACCGAAGGTTGATCTGCCGTTGTCTAATTACTACAGACACGATTCGTTGATTTGCCACTCTTGGAAAAGCCTTGCTGATGTGGCGGTCGCGCAAAAATGGCACAATAACATGCCACAATTGTGGGATATTGTGGGCGCACCAGCACGCAAGGGCAATGAACAGGCAGCCGCCCGCCAGGATTGGTCTGGGCAGCTGCCGTGAAAGTCCTCTCGCGACCGTCAGTAGCGGAAACAGGGCGAGCTGTTGGTTGCAGCAGCGGAGCTTGAGTAGAAGGCCCAACTTTGACGGCAGGGTGCAGGCCATAGGCAGGTCTCATCTCAAGTCCATGCCGTCGTCCAGCGCGGAAATCCCATATTCAGAACGGTTCCTGGAAGAAAGAAAGTCAGGGCATGTGAGGGCGGTACGGTACCCAGTGAGGGCAACGGAGAGAGTGAGAGGCCGCTGGCCACGGCACCGAGATCTCCCGACTTGTACGACGGCTGTTGAAAGACGGTACCCCCAAAACATCTTCCGCGAGCGAGCTTTCTCTGCCATCGAGGTCTGTCGCTTCACGCGTCCCTGCCACCACCCGCTTAGCGACGCCAGGGAAGAGAAATCGAAGAGAGGAGAGAGATCGCTGTTGGTAGGAGCAGGACGTGATGGCTTAAGCTTGACTTAATCGCCTACACCGCGCTGGGTTTTAAAATTGTCGCTGATCTTTGCTGTTTTTGACACTCTGGTAACCATGTCCTGATGGCGTTGCACCAGTCATGCCGAGTTGACAGCTGCATTTTTGCAGCCAGACAGTATGTTCCAGTCATTTTATGACCTATGCACTGCCACTACGTCTGTGACTCAATCCTTCATCGTGATGCGTTGTTATTCTTCGAGCGCTCGTAGTTGCTCTCTGACTTCCATTGCCGGTGCATGTCAACGAAAGCTCGGACGACTGCGTCCGTGTGCCTGCGTGTGTGACATCGTGTGAGCGAGTGGTGTGTGTCACACACTGCACCGACTGGATGGCTTGAATCAGTTTCGAAGATGCAATAGTGAGTCTTACGTGTGTCTAGGGATCGAACAGGAAGGGGTAGGATGCACGGCTTGTTCTGGAGGAGTGGGGATTCAGTGATGTAGGATTGCAGCAGCTGGGTTCTCTTACCCAGATAGCTAAGCTTCAGTCGGACGTAGTCCAGGAACTGCGGCCCCTTCTTTTGGAGTGGCGGGCAGGGGTGCGGAGTGCAGAGGTTTGCCAGCAGCCCATGCGGTTTTGTCAGCATGGCGTTTTTCCTTTGTGCCTGTTTCGTTTATGGGGGCGTTGAGATTTCCCAACAGCACGGTCGGCGCCTGGGAGAGTATTCTACTGTGTTCAGAAAAACCACCTGGCAGTGTGATGTCTGAATGTAGGGTGCTTTATCAGAACTTTGCTCTCCGTCTCTCGCCCTCGCTCTCGCTCTCGCTCTCTCTCTCTCTCTCTCTCTCTCTCTGCGCTTCTCTCTCTCTCTCTCTCTCTGTAGCTCTTGCCGTTGTGGGTTTGGTGACGCAGGTCTCAGGCAAAAAGACCTGCACCGCTGGTAAAGGCAGGTTGCTTGCGCCTTGCGCTCTTTTTGAGAATCACCTGAACTCATGCTTGCAGGAAAGCGTCCGGGCGAAACTCCTTGCAATCGTGGTCGCTCCTCATATAACAACGTTGTCAGAGGCTCCAAGCTGTTACCCAGAACTTGTTTCAGAAATCGGCGGTCTCTTGCCGGAAGTTCCAACCGACCAGAGCATGTTGCTTTGGAGGTAGAGCAGCTGAACCAATGCTTGGAGTCCATAGTTGCCCAGTCAGTTCTCCCCACAGCGCTGGGGGCCCAAGAGAGCAAGACATCTACCAAACTTGGCCTGAAGATTGGATTTAGATGCAAGTCCAGGCTGTGGGTGTGTTGGCATGCAGAGAGCTTCACTGTGAAGCTGGCTGTGTCCCACGCACTTGATGAGCTGATGCCCAGGCGCTTGGACTTTGAGTGCACAGGGCCGCAGCATCGAAAAGCGCATGTCTCAATCCTGCAATATTGGAAGGTGCTGCCGGAAAGGCACGCCGCTGACACAGCTGCAGCTCCAACCTTAGTTGTGACACTTCCAGCTCACCTTAAATCCGGCTCTATGCTCCAAGGCTCGACGAAGCGGCAGGTCAATGGAGAAACGTCGAAGCAGTCGTCACCCCTGATTGAAACATTCCAGCCGGTGGAGTCCAGCGGATGGTAGCGGGCAACTCTTCAGTTACTGTCGCGTGCCCGCGTGCCTGCAGATGTCAGGTCCTAAAGGTGCGGCAGCGTATGGGTGGGGACGTCCGCAACCCAGGGGCCCAGCAGAGATGCGCGGCTGCGTACGGGACCAGCGACCGGTCATTGGAGGTGTGCGACATGTGGGTTGTCCTCACGCAGCCAAACGAGAGCCGAGCTTAGCATGCAAGCAAGGCTCGTACAGTCAGTCTCTTAGAATGCTTAGTGAGTGGGCCGGCGTTGGCAGAGGCTTTGGCACCCACGACGTTGTGAGCAGATTTGTCAAGAGGCGCTCTGTGTCGAGCACTTTTTTGCAGGACTGAAGAAATTCTGTAGCCTGGCATGTCGAGGCAGCCAGAGCGCCGGCCGAAACTTCCAGCCTCCTCTTGACAGAGGGATTCAAGCGCGAGCATGACGTGGTGAGCATTGCTCAGGCTGGACTGGAATGTCCCAGACCTTACAACAGCCATTCATTGATGTTGCAGAGAGCTGCCTCTGAGTATGTGTAGGCTTTTGACTAGATTCTTTCCAGTCTTTGCACCTGGAGGTGGAAGAGCACTTCGCATCGGGCAGCCTGGGACATTTATCAGAAAACGATGTCAGAACCACTTGCTCGAGCATAGTCGTGCGTGTGCCTAGCCTGGCAAAGTTTTTGGCATCAATTTCCTCAGACGTTCTGAGGCACGAGTTTTGCGATCTTGCTTTTTGCAGTTATGCGTGGAACGACCCTTGCGGGCAAGTCACAAAATTAGACCTCCCTTGGTCCGTTTGCTTGTGCTGCCATGATCTGGCAGCGCGGCTCGCTGAGTTTGCACTTGGCAGTGTCGTGGATGGAGACGGTTACGATGCTTCCTTAGAAGAAAGAAAGAGTGCCCTCATCAAGCGAAGATCTGCCGGGGACTGGGCCTATGCCATCTCTGCTGCAGACTTCGTACGGTTCATTGCTTGCTGCAGGTTGGGTGCAGAAGCTCTCTATTTGATTGGCATGTTTTATCCGGGCGAAGACCGGATGCTGGCCGTGTTGAAGCTAGACCTGTGGCGAAGAGTTGCGCAGAAGTGGCAGCTGTGCCAGAATGGATGCAATTGGATTGAAGAGCAGACCGTCCACTTTTTGCAGGATGCAGAAGCATCTTTGGGCAGGTTTGCAGAGGAGCCGTCACAGGAGAGGCTATCGCAGCTCTTGCGTACTTCCAAGCCATCTGATTCGCGGACAGGAATGGAAAACGGCTGCTGCATTGTTTCAAACATAGTCAGTAGCATTGTCGTAGCTTCTTTTCGGCGATCATTGTGTTGAGATAATCGTGATACCTGCGGCTGCCTTGTAGTACAGACGAACTTCCAGGATCACCACTGTCCGTGGATCAACAACTGCGTGGGCTTCTACAACAGGAAGTTCTTCATTCAGCTTCTTTCTTATGTGCAGACCTTGCGTCTTTACATGATGCTGTTCTGTGGTCTTGAGTCTTGGGGCTGGAACTTCAACTGCAGTCTCGACAGATGTGAATCGGGCATGCCAGGTATCTCAGTCTTATCATAGTGGTGCTCTTCACCATCCCCGAGATTTACACTCGATGCTGAGCGGAATTCATCGTGGGCAGGTAGTTGCCGAACATCAAAGAACACGTAAGACAAGACCACCATGCATGGAGTCCTTTAACATCCCTGAATTGAAGGACAGGACATACGGCACTGGCGGATTCGATAGGGTCACAGTCACACATGCTGGTTCCGATGCCCCATCTAGCACGATCCACTCCAGCATCATTTCTTAGAATCATGGCTGGAATCCCGATCTCTCATAAGCCAGGCCGTAATCTCAAGAACCCAAGCAACCCGTCAAACCAGCGCCTTCATGCTTCACGTTGGTTTCCAATAAGACGTAAACTGACTCGCGACTGATCGTGGTGTCAGCAAGCGACAAGTCGACTGTCTGTAGTTCGCGGAATTGCGTGGCCCCAAGGAAGTATGGAACTTACCCGGTGCTTGCCTCGGGTCCTTTGTGTGTGGTCAAGCACGTCTCAAGCTGCCTATGCCGGACAAGCCTGTAGAACTCGTGCCAGGTCCCCAAACAGGTACGGCGAGTCCACTTACTTCTGTTTGGAGACGGTGTTCCTGACTCTTGCGTCGAGCCCTCGGATTGCTTCTGGCACCTGCATGGGAGAGAGCAGTGCATGCTCACATCATGATGCGAATGTGCAGCATCTGGATCAAGGCGCTCATCATTTGTGAAAAGCGAAGACTCAGCGTGTATGTGTTAGAATGTAGGAAGTCCGTGTTGCCACAAGAACGAGAAGGATAAGGGGTGGAGTTCTTGCCACATTCTTGCTTTCCAGTTGCGTTCGTGACCTGAGTTTAAAGAATGCTAGACAAATAGCCGGGAGCCATGGCTCTTCTTGAGGTCTCCCTCTGGAGCGTTGGTGGTAGGACCCATGCGCGGCATCAGCCTGTCTAGTCCGTTGACCTCACAGAGTCCCCTAACCGGACGCTAACATTCACGCGCAGGGCCTTCTCGTGCGCGATGAGATGCTCCCATTGACCCAAACCCTGTTTGTTCATGACTCAGATCCCTGCAGCAACTCCTGAAGCCAGGTACACCCGAAATACCAGAACCCTCCCGACTGAGTTAACTGATTTGGATCTTGAGCTACGTAGCCAACAGATCTAACCTGCCCGCCGCTCCCTAATTCAAAAGAACGCTTTATTATTGTGCGATCGCAGGGAGCGAGGCGGGTGGAGGGGTACGACGAGAGGAAGCTTATTGAACAGCTTCCTTAAGCAGGATATGAGATGGGGTGGGAGCATGAGTGATAGATTGTGTGAGGTCCTGTGGTTTGCCTGTCCCCTGAAAAGAATCCCGTTCCCTGCTTGGCTTGATCAAAGCTGGTTTGAGTCGTGACGGCAAGTCTCCTCTGCTGAAGTGAGCGCTAACAATTTCCTACAGGTTTAGGATAATGAACTGCAAGTTTCCAAGTGTTTCGCGTGGCGAAAAGATCCATTAAAGAAGTGTGCCCACTGCTCGGGAGACGAGTACCTCCAATTGTCACAGCTGGATATCGACACCGCAGCGGCGAAGTTGCCCACAACACATTGTCATGGGAAAATGAGTTGAACGCCGTCAATCTCGGCTTCAGATTGTCGGGTCTCAACTCCTCTTTTGTCTTCAGCATGCGCTGCACACATATGACATAAACACTGACTTTCACAAAAATTCTGGGGACTCGCCGAATTCCCTGCCTCCGCTGATCGCAGGAAGCTCGGTGAAGTTGAGCTCAGGCCTTCTGAAGCTTTCGATTTTGCGTGCATTTCCCCTTGTGCTCCAGACTCTCATAGCTGGCAGGGAGGAGTCCACCGTGAAGGAGCCTGCTTTGGCCCACTGCAGTGCTGTTGCGTGTCCAGCGCCTTCGAAGCTGAGCTTCTCCTAACGCGCAAGCTTGAAGGAGTTGAAATATGCCACAGCAGACCTGCTAGAGCTACCTCCGAAATGTCATCGACTACTTTGTGGTGGAGAGATCATGAGCAGTTCCGATGCTCAGAGCTTTGAGGAAGACACGGTCCAGTTCGTGCTGCCTGCTGCATCCACGGCATTTTCAGGCAGTAAGCGAATGAAGGACTACAGCCAAAGCCAAAGTGCCTTTGAGGCCCGTTTTCAGAGCCCGTTGTGAGTTTTGTTTCGATTCTTAACACCGGGGAGATTGTGGGCTTTCCTTCTTGTCGTATTAATAACTCGCAGGTTCTAGTCTCTGTATGCGGCACGATGGGGTGGACAACCTTCACCATTAAACAGCCGATGTTGTCTTTTTGCAGAGACAGGAAAACTGCTGTCAGACTCCTGATGCGACATGGACACCAAGCGCCGGTCGGCAACCCTGATGCTGACCCCTGTCCCCGGCCCCCCCCTTTACGAACCCGAACAATCCACCTGTGCCCATGCTGCCCTCTCAGTTTCTCCAAAGCTTAGAACAAAGACCCTGTCGTGATGGGGGTGGGGATGGAGAGGGAGGGGAGGGAGAGAGGGAGGGGGGACGACAGAGGTGGGGGAAAGGAAGGAGGCGATCATCCGCCATTGCCTGATGTGCTTTGAACATGTGACCAACTGCAATAGGGTAGTGAGGGGGCGGGTTCAGCTAATGTCTAGTGTGAACGTCGGGTTTAAGAAATTCGATCACCCGCCCTCGAGTAGTGAGGGGGGATTTAAGAAATGTGATCAACCGCCCTCGGCTTGCTACGACGAGCATCAGGACATGCACAAGACGTGCTGCAAATACCAGTTACGAATCTCATCCTGTCAGACGAGGTTGCTGCAGTACCCAGTTGAATCCATTGCAAACGGATCATTCGAGCATAGTGTTTGCAAATGGTGGGGCTGCCAAGCGCGCCGCCCACCCTGGATTTGGCCTAGCCAAGCTTGTTGTGAAGATCCTCCTGTTTGGATGAATCCCTTCCAAACCGGTCACTCGAGTTCCATACTGTGATGTATTTATCCTTCAAGAGTTTGCTGCGAAGAGCCTCATGCCGTCAAAGAAAGGTGCTGCGATGCGCAGATGAATCCTCTGAAACCGGTAAACTGTAATTCCACCACATCCGCAGAGCAGGATCCTTGAAACTGTAGTTTCCCAATAGCTTGCCTGAAAAAGACCTTGCAACACGTTGTTCGCCAGAAGGTTGTCGCAGAACAGGACCTTGCAACATACAAGTACCGACTGCTGCAGCTTGCCGAAAAGCCAGATACTGACGAGAACCTGCCCTCTCTTGCGGCTTTTTCCACCCTGCATCGCTCCCTCCCCCTCTCTCTCTCTCTCTCTCTCTCTCTCTCCCTGGTTCGCGCGATGTTCGGTGCCTCAACCAAAGCTATGGACGAGTTGTGTAACTGTGAAAAGCGACTGCTGCAGGTCACCGTGGTTATTTCCCACGAGCTCATTTACAAGCGCATGTGGGATCCGTGTGGCGAAGTGAGGTCTGCCTGTCGTATTCGTCTCTTTTCATGGTCAGGGTTCCGGGGGGTGTCGGCAGGGGGTGTCAGCATGAGGCAAGCTGCCCTCAACACACTTGGAAGGGCTGCAGAGCCTGGTTCCAAGGCGGCATCATTGGCCATTGATTGCAAAGACAGCTCCCCATGTTTGTTTCTGTGGAGGCAGCAATCGAGGCAGTATGCCAATGCCTTGAGAATTGCAGCGGTGAGGCTGTTCGACGCATTTGCATGCTTTCAGAGTGGCAATACTGGTCAAGTCGTCAGCTCACTGGTTTGAAGAGCTGCAGCCAGCAATCTGGGTTAGCAGGACTGAGCCACATAGCTGCATGATGTTGCAGGAATGTTAGGTCAATGGAGTCGGAGATGCTGCGACATTAGGAAGAAGTGTAGCTCCATATGACGGCTTTGTGGACTTGTCCCAATACTAGAACCCCGCTGACACCGCCCTTCCCATGTAATGTGGCATTTTGCACAGGTTCGGCGAGTGGCCATCAAGACGTTGTCCTGCATTGCCGAAGATGGCAACCAGGAGGCGAAGACCCGGCACAGAGCGGAGTTTGTACGGGGCTGGAGGGCGTCCAGTGCCTGGTTGGCGAGGTCATTAGTCTTCTCTGTGACAACGTGGCGTGCAGTGATCTTTTCACAAAAGACCCATGGCCTGCAATTGGCACTCACTGGGACCTGACGTGGCACAGCGCAGAGCTCTCAACTCCAGGCCACTGCCATCAAAGGCTTGATGAAGGTTGCTGGTGCAGGCCTGTCCGGTTGCTGCAGGCCCGTTTGATGATGTAGATTCGCAGGTCACAAAAACCTTGTCTCCAGCGTGCTCGACCTGGTGGAGAACAGGCAAGCAGCATCCAGGCTCGCAGATCAGACCGCCGATGTTTCTGTGATGTCAGTGCTTGCGCTACGTTGTGCTTTGCGAGGCGGCTTGCAATGGAATCGTTGCCACAGGCAGAGAGCTGACGGTCGAAAGTGTCTGCTATTGGCCGTGGCCAGGTCACAGCACCCGGTGACGCCAGATCCATTAAGGCAGCCTGCACCTCGCTGCGAGATGAGGATGCGAAAGTGAGGCTCAGTACGCAGTGCTGCGCAGGCAGTTGTTCTTGCCAGACTTCGCCAGGCAACTGGCCGCACAAGCCTTGGGACAACTGGCAACGAGAGGTGACAGCGAAGTGGTGGAGATGCTGCTGGAGAGGATGCAGGCCCCCTGGCACAGCCGCGAAAACGTCATCAAGCTGCTCTTGCCTAGTTGTGGCTTGCCCTTCGACCATCTTCTCAATCCATCCGTGAACAGGACCGAGACAAAATGACTCGGCGCCATGCGACAATGGCGCTGGGCCATGTGGCGGCGCAGGACTGGTGGCTGAAGTCGGGGCTGCTGCAAATTTCGAGAGACTCAGAATGCATCGCAGCGCATGTGAGGATGATGCCAAGGCCTGCGCAACGCGAGCCACATTGTGCTCCCCTGCACTCCTGAAATCTCCTGAATCCGCATCAACATCGCAGGCCCTCGCAGTTCTTGATGCGCTCTCCAGGAACTCCTCGGACATAGCTCTGAGGCACGGCAGTAAGGCTAATGGTGGATCGTGCATGCAGCAGAGACCGCAAAGACGTGCAAAGACTGCATGGCTGTGGGGCGTCCGTTTCAGAGCGAGGCGGGTGGCCTCTACAGCGCGGGAGGCGATTCTTTGCTGCCCTCTCAACAGCGAGACTGAGTGACTCCTTCCTGTAGCTGCATGGCGGACTGCAGACTGCAGACTGCCTCTCGTGTTAAGTTGATGCTCCAACTCTGAGAGTCTTGGCGCTGAGACTTCTTTAGGCTAGTTTTAGTTCCTGTCGCCGTTTGCCACCCCAAACTGGCGGCCCGGCAACAACGACAGGTCTGCGCGATTCGTGCGATCGAGAAACACTAAGAAAGACCCGGAAAGGACTTGCCCAGTGCCATGCTGCAGTTGACTCGTGGCAGGTTTTGCATGGCTACCCTCCTGATTTGCACGCTCACAAACTTCATAAAGTCCCTCGGCTGAAGTCACTACTCGCGGATGGCTCCGTCGAACTTTTGTGTGCGTGTCACTCGGAGTGCTGCAGGTTTCACATGAAGTTAGTCTTGGAAAACTACACGACCATCGAGAATTTGGAGCGTGAGGCCATTGTGAATGGGAAGCTTGGTGACACGTACCTGTGGAGCGCCGAAGAAGCCACTTCGTCTGCTTTGTAAGCCTAAGCACTGGGCAGGAGGGTGCAAAGAGCAAGTTCGACATCGGCCGTCGCAGGACAGGTTGCTGAAGCAAGCGCCGTGAAATCGCAGCGAAGGTTTTGTGACTGAAGGAATTGGGAGCAGGTCTTCGGGCAAAACCCTTGGATGCTGGGCTCCGAGACATGCAACACGGGAAACCGCTTGCATGCCAGTTGTCGGTGTCGCATCCTATTGAGCAGGTGGTGGCTTCCACTGCACACGCAGGTGCGGGTTGAATACAAAGAGAATCGTTAAAAAAAAACTTCCCAAAACAGAATTCCTATTTCTGGCCAGGCTTCCCGGCCGATCGGCGATGGTGTCCGATGGCGGGTGCACTATACCAGAGTGATCGATGAGGCCCACAACAGTACACAAATGTGCACACTTTACTTGTTTGCAGACAGAGAGCCGATTCGAACAGGACGAAGAGTTGCCCGCAGACGAGGAGGGCATGTCACAAGCAAGCAGATTACTAAACCAGGCGGATCCACAAGTCACCATTCATGCCGTAGACGACGCTGCTTTCGCAGCACTTGGGAAAGTGTTTGGAGCACGGCGAGTGTGTTGCCTTGTTGCAGGGCAATGCCGGATCCGCAAATCGATCTACCGGAAGGTAGTAGTTGGCTGCGAGGCTTGAGCACCAGGGCTGCAGGTCCTTGAAGCATGTTTGGCTTCTCAGTCTAGTGATCTTCATTCTGTTATGCTCACAGAATATCACAGATCCTGGTGGCAATGCAAACCTCTTTCACTGAGACTGGTACAGCATTGAAGAATTCTGAGTGCCCTGAGCTGTGACATGCATCCGTATCGAACACAGACTGTGTGAAGGATCAAAGTTGTTGATCGCATCAGCGATCGAAAGCAGCGCGCGGGACGGCCTCGTGGGTCCAGAAGTGTAAATCCGACAAAGCCAGGGTGCTCTCGAATCCAATGCATGTTGCAAGGGAGCCGGCGGTGGGATAAACGGGCTTGGAAGCGACGGTCCAAGCTCTGGCGATGCTCGGAGCGGTGTGGTGTTGAGCCGTGGCGCAGAGAGGTTGGCTCTCTGTTGGTGCATTGACGGGCCGTCTGCCCGTTCTAGACGGAAGGACCAGGCTTCAGGCTCCCCCCACGTCGGACGGCATTCAAAAGGCTGGAGTGCAAACGGCACGATGAGATAAGAAGTTGAAAGTTGCCCCATGTTGCGCAGGTTGCTTCTCAGGCCAGCAATGTAACACGGCAATATCCTGACACTCCAAACTGCTTGCCAATGCACCCATAGATCATGCCTCCCGAGATGAGCATGGCCGACACAGATGTACACGTATATAAGCAGTCTAGGGGTAAAGAGCAGTTTGAACCTGGAGCCACGGCATATCAGAAATGCGAATCTGTCATTGAGCAGGTTGATCGCGGAAGGGGCAGTGACCTGAATTTGGTGTGCTGGTAACAGACCAGCCGCTCAACAGGCACAGAAGTGGTATAGTGAGCATAGTGTAACTGTCACTGTATGTAACTGGAACTGTGTTGGCATATGAATCATTTTTTGTGTTGAGAGCTTACAGTGAGTTTCACGAATTCACCTTGCAGCATCCTTACCCTGCAGAAACCAGGGGATAGCATCGATTCCAGTCGGCTTCCTTGTACCGGTTTAGATAAGCTGCCTGCGCTGATTGTACTTGGTTTGCCGGCCGACTGGGTTTGTTGTACGCCAAACACGGTTGACCGCATTAGATCGCAGGCCACGCGGCAACAATCGGCAGCTCTGTACGGACAGGGTTCGTCAAGTTTCATGTCGTACCGAGGTGGCTGTTCTAGATCAGGGTTCAGAAGCTGTCAAGGATTGTGGCCTCGCCAATGACCCATCAGACCAATCATTCCGCAGCCTCTGAAGCATGGAATAAAGCTGCAGGCCAGGAAAGAGCAGTTTTGAGGGTTTGACAGTCGCAAGGAAGTTACGACATGTTCTTGGTGTTACTATAACTGTTACGAGTCGCAGCACTCCCAACATCTCCCAACCACATGGATGCAGACCTCTCCAGAGAAGCTTTGCCATGGCCGCGCGGCAGGCGGTGCGTCTAAGACTGCTGCAGTGCTGCAGGGCAGTGTTGACTTGCGGACGAAACCTGCCGGCAGCAATCTGAGTGCAGGTCAACTGCTCAGATGGGCCCGCGAATCGCAAGAAACAGCACGCAGCTGCTTGCATTCGCCCGGAGCCCGGGCTTGCACGGAACGGCATAAAGTAAGCCGGCTCGTGGAATGATACGGTGGTGCAGGTACTCGCGCAAAACCGGGAGTGTCGCAGCCATCTGCACAGAATCAGAAGGTCAGGCGGAAGTGACAGGATCATAGCATAGCGGAGTCCAAGTGCAGGCGCAACGTCGCCTTCACGCTTCGGCTTCGACATCTCCTCAAAGGCATCCTTGCACTGCACTGAGCCTCAGCAGCTGGGACGTTTGCCTGCTGGGAGGTCCTCCGTGCTTCAGCCCTATCCAGACCAGTCCACGATGACTGTTCATTCTCGTGCGCATCTTCGACAGGCGTCCAGTCTCAACCCTTTGCGATGTCCACACATGTGCCAGCGTGATAACGAGCTTCTTGCAACGAGTGAACGCCAGGCAGGCGCAGGCACCGCAGGCAAGCGAGAGGAAGGGACCGTGGCTCCCTCAATTTGCGGTGCCAAGATAGAGACACTGAGCTTCAAGCTTTTTCTGCCTCAAGACTCAAGGCATCTCCACGGAGCCGTTTGCGCGACTGGTTAACTCAGCGGATTCAGACCGTCCTTCCCTCAGTGCCGAGCAGAATGACGCCGACTGCTCTGCTCGACAGGTGCAGCTGGAGATCGCTCAATTTCAACATGCAAGGCTCATCGGGCAGTCCCTGACCTTTGCGAGCACCCTCTCGTCCTGTGGACGGTGCCGTTAGGCTCCAGCGGTCATCATCAGTGAAGCCATCCGACAAGAAGCCGAAGGCGCGCGCAAGGTCGCGCAAGGTGAACAGCCAGACCTTTAATGATGCAAACCTGCATGCTGTCACCCTCAGGCTTACAGGACTGGCTCGTTTTCACCATCGAGAACTCAGCCCCGGGCTGGTCTCTGGATCGCAGTCACGTCAAGAGATCCTGCTTTTGTCTCAGGCCTGCTGTTCAGCCGCGAAGTGCGAGGTGGGACCGGGAGCGAGGAATGACACCAATGTGTTTCATCCTTAGTGGCAGCCCTGTGAAGCGGCTTCTCAAGGATCCCACTTGGATCTGCGACGGCTTTGTGCAAGGCATTGTTCTGCACCAATGCTGTCCTTCTTCATGTTAGTTCTGTCTGCCTTGACAGCCACTTTGCACCCACAGGCTGCGGGATCCAGGCCACCTGCAGGTAGCTCAGACTTTGATTCCGGCTGCCTGTCTTGTGTCCACAACTTCGGACTGCAGGCCAGGCAGAATGCAGCAGGCCATGCAAACTCTACACTGCCTGCCGGCCTCTCAGTTTGAACCAGTCTGTGTGCCAATTTGAGCGCCGCCATTCGTGCCTTGTTTGCAAAGTGCATGTATTTTTTCAGGAAGCAGCCGTCCAGAAGTGGGGACCCCGTGATTGTGGCTGCTGTGCGTGATGCTGGCAGTACGGCAAAGGCTTGAGATGCACAGCATGTTCCTGACCCATCTCTTCCCCTGTTTTGCAATGTAACCCACAGAAATTAGTATGACAGCGTAGATCCCCAAACAGTGATAGGGTCGCTGTCCGGATTCAGGACAGCGGTGCAAGCGCTTCCCGCTTGGTAATTAATGACCGGTGGGCTTCAGGAGCACAGCGAAAATGCTTCCGCCAATTGCTGGCCAGAAGGAGGCCCAAGGTGTCACCATGCACAGTGGATGTGAATGGATGTGGATTTCCGGGGACGTGGCCACCAGGAGCCTGCGTTGTGGGATATTCGCCACACCACAGTGCGAGGGCACCCTCCCGTCGCGGGGCCCCTTCACTAACCACTTCTCTTGATCCCCAGCGTAAGAACCACCTAGTGTTTACCACGCTGTTTGGGGAACAACCCTTGCAAATTCAATAGCCGTTGGCCTTCGTGCCGCGGCAGACATGGGGTGGTTCGATGGACGCGAGATGACGAGATCCGGAGACTAGTGAGTCGTCAGTATGCAAGACGCTGCAGCGAAATTAACCGATGCATTTTCCGATTCTACTACGAGTTCGCAACTTCTTGCCGTACTATGGCCTTGGCCACATTTTCGAACATTCCACAGACCCGCTAAGGACTGGCGACCAGGCATGTGCTCCGAAATGGATGGATTTGCCGAAGCTGGATTCTTTGCACACCTAGGACCTAGTTGTTCGCCACGATCCTGAGCTCACAGACATGCATTCAGGTCTCCTCCAGCAGTGCCCCGGACGTTGGAGGCACTTCACCCTCTGGGGCGCGGAGGCCGCTGATGAGCTTGTAAGATCGCCTCAGGCTCCGCGGAAGTTTCTCGGCGAAAGGCCAGCTGTCTTTGGTCCTCCGTGATCGCGGCGTTGTCTTTCGCTCACCTTGCAGGCTGAGATGTGTCCACCATGCTGCCTGTCGTATCCAGCGTGCTTGGAGGCACCGCCATGTAGGAAAGGAGTCTAGCCATTCACCAGTATTATTGCAGTCTCATCCGTCTCATCTGATTCTCATAATCTACAATTGGGTGAAGGAGGCTGGCTACTTGCACGGGGCCCTTACTTCCTACGATACTCCGAACCCCGGTGTGTGGAGTCTTGCAGTTCTCTACTTTCCTGGTATGCGGCAAGTCTTCTGCACACAGTAAATATGCCCCTCAGTTCACAGTACCTGCTGATGTCATGTGGTCCTGAGCGTTTCTGCATCAGCTCAGGGGTTAGGCAGACCCTGAATGTAGTTTGAGGTAGTCGGATCCCGCGAAAAGAAATCTGTCCGACGGCTTGGCGTGCCAGGATATCTCATTGGCGCCGAAGCTTCGTTGATTTCTCCCGCCACCAGGCACACGCCAGAACTCACCACGCAGTAGCGTGATGCTTGTTGTTGCAGGTTGGATGGTTGGGTAGCCTGAGTTGGCTGCGGCGGTAGCAGACTCAGGAAAAGATTTTGCCTTTGGCTTCCCCGAGTTGGCGAAGATACGTGTATGCAGCCTCGAGAAGACGACCTAGGTAATATTACTATTGACATGAGTTTTGCTGCTTCCGAGCCTTACAAACGGCAACGGGATGCAGCAGCACTTGGACTGAGAGCTGGCGAAGCTCAAGATCCAATTAGTGCAGTACTCTTCACAGACGGCGGTAGAGCATATGTTGCATCCTCGCTAACAAGGGTATGCACATCACCAGACCGCGTGTCGCTACCGATCAACGCAGCATGCAGACATCCAGTTCCGCAGTGAAGCTTGTCCTACGAATGGCTACTTTGCCTTTCAAAAAACTTGCTCGGAACTGGGGTGCCGTTTGTCATAACTCTACCGGATGATTGAACGGTGCCTGGCGGACATAGCCTGCCAGCAATTTTCTGATACACGACCCCTCACACCGACCCCTTGCGGATTTCAAGGCAGGCATGTCTTCCTGTCATCGTTGTCGTTCTGTACAAGAGAACTCACATGAGGACCTTTACTTTGGATGAGTCACAAGCTGTACCCTGGTGCCCTGAAACCCGCGCATCCTCATCCTGAAGAGGCACCACTTCCTGTACGGTGCTGGTCTGAGAAGATCTGAGAAGTGCGTGCGAAGCTGTTTTGGAGGCTTCGTGTGAATTCCTCCCTGTTTGAGGCAACGAGCTTGCAGACAGTGAAGATGTCAGGCACAATTTTTGCTCCTTAGGAGATGGTGGAGTTGGTGAGTCTGCAAATCTGGCCGAACACTAGCATGAAAGTCTCGGAGGTGGTGGCTCAAGCAAAGACAAGATGCAGCACTAGACTACCAGGCGAAGACGTCCGTTGTGTGCACAGCGCCAGGGCATGCCACGGTGTTTCCAAGCCGATTCACAGGTGGATCCGTGGGGTTTCCACAGGCTTCAAGAGCATTTGTGGGAAGCTCTCACCTCGCAGACTCTCGTCACGCCGCTCATTCAAGACCGAGGTCGCACACTTGGAACCGGCCTATCCGCAAAAGTCCCAGGCCATCGTGCACATCTCCGCTGTCATCCGCTGTTCATGTTGACCTTGCACTTCTGTAGGGTGCTGGATACACCTTCCGTAGCAGCATTCGAAGACATGTACGGCTCCAAGCATGTCTCCAAGAAATTCGGGAACAAAGGACGGATAAGGGGGGAGTTTGCGAGGAATGGAAGCGAGCCAGGATCTGCTCGATCACCTTGGCAAGACGCTCTGGGGCGCTTCATAATGTTCAGAAGCCTCAGGCCTCTGTTCCCTATGAAAGAACTACGGGTATGAGTGGGCGCGCAATGCCACGCAGGCAAGCGCGACCTCCAGTCCAGTACAACGAGCAGAAATTTAGCTGCCTTGCATGAATGCACACGCCGGCCTATGCATGCATGTGCCCACGACAGAGAGAATGGTGGGCGCTCTGACGGCCCCGCCGGACCGTCCTCCAACTTCTGCAGTACAAGAAGCAGGTTGAGATGGGTTTTCCCTGACTTCTTCCTCGATGCCTTGCAGGAGAGGTGAGATGAATGTATCAATCTAAGGGTTGGCGGGTTTCAATTCACCCTGACGGCCTAGAGACGTTCCTGGAATCACAAGTCATGGACCCATTGGCCTGAGCGTCAAGCTTGGCCCCTGGGGCACCAGGTCCAGATCGACCGCGTCGGCTGGAGGACCGGCACGGCAACGTTTCCGGCCTGCTGCGTCCCGATCGCACTTGCACTGTTCTGCCAGGCCCGGCCATGCCATCGGCTGCAAAGTGTCTTGTCTGCCCATCAGAGAAGGTCCTTACCACGACAGGGCTTAGGTGCACACTGACAAGCTTTCCAACCACAACGACAAGCATTTTGCTAATGCTGACAAGGGTTTAGGTTCAACCCTCGCAGTGTGTGTGTGTGTGTGTCCGGGAACCACCATTTTGGCACTTTGAAAGCTCAAATCTACCAAATGAATGCTTGAAATTTGAAACAAGGTCTCCCCTCCAGTAAACGGGGGCGACGCGCAGGAATCACCATCTTGCCGTTCTGACAGCCCAAATCCTCCAAAACAGTAATGCCCCCGCGTGTGGGGAACGGGGCAACGCGCGGGAATCATGGTTTTGGCTTGTTTTAAGCTCAAATCTACCCAAACGGTGATTGCCCTGCATGGCGGGGGGACCGGAAGACGATATGCCATTATGTGAAAAGTAGAGGATTCCCACTTAACTCTCGGTCTCAAAGCAATGCGCTACCAATCGTATGCCCAGCAAGCAAAGCAAAAGCAATGGCAGTGCCAAGCAAAGCTGGAGATCGATCCAGAGTTCTGTTTCCGTGTGTTTATATAACTTATATAACCACTCAGCTAAGAGGCAATACCTGCACTTCCTAGGAGGATCTTGAGCAGTCAAGCTGC